AAATCGTCAAAAGAAGCGATTTCAAGAGCAGTTAACCAACGTTTAAAATGAACAGACAAATCCCTCGCCATCTCCACATAGGTTTGACCTTGTTTCTGCTCAAAGGACCTAAAATGCTGTCGATAGGCCTCTGGCACCAGTTCATATGCCCTAAGTACCGCCGATTTTATCTTACTATAGCTAGAGCTATCCTCAAAACATAGGGAGGAATATGCAGACTGTGCTTTTCCTGTGAGAACACACTGAAGCATCAGTGCGCAGTCTGCTTCAGGCAAATCTCTAGCCCTAGCTACACATTCAAACAACAAAAAAAACATGTCAGGATCACTTTCATTAAAGTGCGGCAGCAAGCGCAGGTTATTAATGTCAAAACGATGAGACCTGGGCACCTGTTCACCCTGCCCCTCACCATCTCTGGGAATAGACAGACGATGTCCCTCCAACTCTATCTTGGCTTTCTCAGATTCTTGCCGTATCCGCTCCACTGTGATTTCCTTTTCAATTCCCAAGGCATACTTTACTCTGTCATGTTCCAGCTGCAACAACAACAATTCCTTCTGCTGCTCAAAAGAAAGTGCACTAGCCTGAAAAAGAGGTTTTAACAAAACACCCTCTTCCTTTGCAGCAAACACTCCTGTCTCACTCAATGTCGACACTATAGAGTCTTTGATGTTCTCCTTCATCCTCCTATCACCGACAATAGTCACCGAGAAATGCTCAGCAATCAAGAGCAGCTGCTCTCTTGAAAAAGTGCCAAGAGACTCCTGAGACGGAGCTTCAATAAATGCCTCTACGTCAGTCATATTAATTTAGACCGGGCCCTCACCGGAATACAACACCGAACCTTTTACGCCGAGAGAAGAAAAAAAACAAAAAACAAACCGGACCGACACCACAACGTTTGCTATGCGTCCAAAGTGGAACAACACTAACTTATTGATTGGAGTTTCCCCACTAACTATTACCATCCCACTGAGTAATCTCCTCCCTAGTCTTCATGCAGTTACTTGTGGTGGGTATTTATGCACTGGAGACCTATGGCAAGCCATTTGAGTATTTATTCCACATCCTTGATATCAGACGGCAGCTGTCTACACTAGTTGGCTCTTTGATTCCACTTGTTAGAGATATGGTCAAACTAGTTTGGCATTCTGCTTTACTAGTTCAATAAAACATTACACTAGTCAGTCTTTTTCAGCGACTAGTGGCACTTTTGTCCGACTAGTTAGCACATAAGCCTTACTAGTGACGCCAGGAGCAGCACTAGTTGCACNGGACCGACACCACAACGTTTGCTATGCGTCCAAAGTGGAACAACACTAACTTATTGATTGGAGTTTCCCCACTAACTATTACCATCCCACTGAGTAATCTCCTCCCTAGTCTTTATGCAGTTACTTGTGGTGGGTATTTATGCACTGGAGACCGCTGGCCCAGCAAAGCGACTAGCAGGCTAGCAACACTACTGAGACCATGGCGATGCTCCCAAGCCGTATCTTCAACCACTTTCTCCGCAACACTACACACCCCGCTCAACAATCCCAAGGGAACCGCCGCTTAACCTGCCAGGGAAAACTCTGCACGGCTCCACATACAACGCACCCGTGTCAACGAGAGAGAAAGGAAAAACAAAGCAAACAGCTGATCACGGCTAAGAACAACTGGCAAACCCTGTCCTGAAATATAATGCAAAACAAATCAAAGCCTCACAAAGTAATCTAATCAGTCCCCAAACAACGATCTGAAATCTAATGTCCTTCCCATAATGAGCCGAAACAAAGAAACCGGCCGCACTGCAAATGCGCTCCCAAAAAACTTTATACACGCGCACCAACTCCCAACACAAATCTTACCTATCCGTTGCTATATCACAGAAAAAAGAAGTGGACGAGCCCCCATCTGTCATGGCCTGGCTCTTGGCCATAACAAAAAGCGTGGGAAGGACAAGAATATGTATATAAAAAGGTATATTTATTAACAGAAGCTTAACGTAAACCAAAAAAACTAACACAAAGGAAAAACAAAAGACGAAGCGACGTAGCTGCTCCGAGGTCAGGTCCTCTGCGGGAGGAGATTGCGGGTCTCACTCAGGCCCTTTAACCCTCTGGTACCGGCCGCCAGGTGTCCTCAATCCCAGTTGATAGACCAAAGGGAAACCTTAAAGGAACATACACACACACCAGAGATAACAAGGCAGGGGTCGTCACACTCCAGAACCACTGCTAGACAATTGTAATGAACATTATGTCGTTTTATAGCATAAACTGTATGTGTAACATTGAAATGATTACCGATAATCCATACAAAA